CGCAGCGGAGCAGTATGAAAATACTGGGTGTGGGGAGGGTGGAGCGCTGAAAAAGGTGGAGAATGGCCAGCCAGGAGCAGGACCAAGTGATGATGAAAGGGGTGGGGGTAGTTTTGTTTGTTTGTTTGTTTGGTTTGGGTGAGGGGAGAGGGGAGCATGGCCCATGGGGGCAGTTAGTAGCAGGAGGAATTGAAGACCAACTCAGACTTTGTGCATCAAACTTTGATTCAAAGACCTAATCTCCTACACGTCTCCTTTGTGGCAGACAGACGGTGTGCTCCAACTAATAGTATAATTAACGAGGTCTCCTCACTTCACCACTGTCTTATCTTCATCAGCAAGCTGTTCAAGACGTCTGCTCAGTGGAAAACTGTCGTATAGGCCTATACTACAACATCACATTTTGCGGAGTCTTAGTCTGACAGTAACAAGAACAAGATGAAAAATGTTCTAAGCCCAGAAAGCAAAAGTTTTCAGTAGAGGAAGAAAAAACAACTGTTTCATTCTTTTTTTTTTTACAGTAATTGTATCCACTTTACGTACCTTTTCTTGCTTGTTTCAACATTTAGAATTTGAACATTGACAAAATATTTCCTGCAAAGCAAAGCAAAAGTTTTCAGTAGAGGAAGAAAAAAACAACTGTTTCATTCTTTTTTTGACAGTAATTGTATCCACTTTACGTACCTTTTCTTGCTTGTTTCAACTTTTAGAATTTGAACATTGACAAAATATTTCCTGCAACACGCAACGACTTAACGTGTTGATCTACCACAGATTAAGAAACTAGGATGAAAAGAAAGTTTTCTATATTTTGGGACTTAGTAACATCTGAACAGCTGACCAACACTGTGTCACGTGTCATGATTCTGTCTTTTTCTATTCTAAGGGACATTTGCCCTGTCTTCTACCACTCCGGAAAATATGGAAGATGAACTCGTCATGTATATAGATCTATATATATTTTGTAAATATAATATCATATCAATTGTATTGCGTGGGTTGCAGAGCACATTAATGGAGTCTATATTAGACAAAACTTGTTACAGTGGAGGCGGCTTAACCCCTTTGTGTCACAGGGTCATTTTGTGGGTGGTTGGTGGGTGCTCTGGCGAGGTTTGCATCTTCTTTTCTATCAAACATCTATTGTCCTTATCTCTTCTTCTTTTCTATTTATGTCTATGTTTGTTACTCTCTCGTACTTGTAGCACCTCTAATCTTCAGCACTTATGACTATGACCAAAAAGAGTTGCAAGTGCGGTAAAACTCTTACTAAAACATAAAACGTAAACAAGTTCAGTTTCTGCTTCACCTGGCAGTTTAGGATCTCCAAGGTCAAAGAGTTGCTTTAGATTTAATGGTCGGTTGCCTATAGTTCAACTATAATTGGACCCGGTTTGTAAATTACTACTGAATATTTCTAAAACGAAAATATTTCTTTGTATGGAAATACTATAACTGAATGTGAATCTGCAATTAGTCTTATGAAGTGCATCTGAATCTAATAGAAGCAGGATGCAAAATACGAACTATGATGAACAGCATTCATCATCATGGTCCTTGTGCTTCGCAAGGCATGATAAACGTCATATTATGTCACAGCAGCTTCTCGCCCCCTTTGCCGTATAAGTACAATAAGAAATAAATAACAAAAAGCGTCCGTCATACAGGTTACAAAGTAACAAAGTGGTAGAACCAAAACTTGGTTAATCGGAAAATGGCAGTAAACCAAAAGCAAATAAAAATCCCTGATTTCATTTCCCTTTCTTTTATTGAATTTGAGCAACCTCTCTAAATCGAAAACTTGGGCTAAATCGAACACACAAAAAATCTGTCAGTCCCGTAGCTTAGGTTTTGGTTAGAGCGGACTTCACAGTGTAACAAATCCTTCTTAATGTAAAAGAAAGCAAACGTCTTTGGCCTCATTTCATCTGTAATATAATTTCCTCTCATGTGGTTTCGATAATCATGGACTAAAGTCAACATAAAAGTCATCTCCTACTCCTATTATAAATAGACTCTACGTGTTGTATTCTATTGTGCCTGATCGCAGGACGTCATTTTGTAGAGCTTTATCTAATAACATTTTTCATGAGCTTCAACTTATTGTGCGGTCAAAAATTCGTGGCACAACTTGTTGTCATATATTTCCTTAACTATCGAACATTGACTCTCCAACTTTTACACAATGACTTGCTTCAGTTTGTCTTAAAAGATCAATATTTTTGTAAACACCTGTGTTAGCTGTGTTCTAGAAAATTCCTTAATAAATACATGTACTTATAAAAAATCTAAGTTGGTGGTTTCTACAGATTTTGAAAGGTTTACGGCTAGAGCAATATTGCTTTTATTTTTAAAAGCAAGTCCGTCATTTTTTTCTAATGACAAAATTATGAATGTTTTGAAAATCTTTAGTGTAAAAGATACCTTCACTATAAAATTAATTCCTCGTATATGTAACAAGTTTTGCCACTGAAAAGTGTCATCGGTGAGCTGTGACGTAGGCCATATGCCTCTATGCAAAATGTGTGTGAGAAGTGGGAAGTGCTGTGAACAATCCCATTTTCCACGTGACAGAGATTTGGAGTATTTTATATAAATTTATGAAGAAAATTTTTAAAATCTAGCCTCAAATGTTGTGGGAAAAATATTATGATTTAGTTAGTTAATAAGGCAATTTGATACAAACTGCTGTGCAAAGTATGCATGACATCGATTTACCCGTCATAAGTATTATAAGGGATAGAGACATTTGAGGATGAGTTGCGCCATGAATTTTTGACGGCACTATAGACTGAAGCCAATTGTTTTACACCCATATGGTCATGTTGTCTAGCACGCACATAATGAACACATACATAGCAAACATGTAGATAGCAAAACACACATTGCTATAACACATAATATAGCAAAACAAACACAGAACGAAACACACACATAGCGAACAGGTTTTGTGGTCCCGATTTTTTACATGTACAGTATAGCACGTACAGCACAAATTCGTTGGGATTGGCCTTGGTAGTTCGAGGGATCTTACAAAGATTTTTAAAAAACAAAACCGGGACTGCATGCACAGTTCGACATATGTGAGATTTCGAGTCTTCTGTGTTCGGCCTGTCTGTGTTATACTGCACATAAACATTCTTTGTATTAAAACACGATCAATATAAAATCATATACATGTATAACGTTAACATTTCCATGTCCCACTGACTTCGCTATATGTGTGCGTGCTAGACTGTAATGTAGATCATGTAGGAGGCAGGATCCTCTCTAAGGGTGTCTCAATACACTTGATGAATGACTACATGTACATAACTGTACTACACACAATAATCTTCACAAAAATGGCCTTCTCTCAAGCACACACTTTTGCTAGATGGTCACATAATTGTTATTAATTGTGCTTTACGCCCTCATCGACACAAATTACATAATTTAATATGAAACGGGCTGCATCGACCGTGTCTGCCAGGGCCAATATAGGCTGAAAGAGAAACAGCAATGTTCCAGCACATTGATGGAAATACTTGGTAAACAAATATAATACCTTCTCACTCAGGAATTGAGGAGGAGGTGGAATTGAAAGTTACAAGTAATCAGGAATGTAAAGTAAAGACTTGTGAATAAAATTGTTTATGGGCCTGGCCAGCTGCTAGTTAGAAAAAATGAGAGAGCCAACTCATAAGAAACTGGATAAAAAAGCAAAATTGAGACAATAGGTACAGCATGACGTGCCAGGTTTTATTGTCCACACCAGTACCAAATTTTGACAATAAAAACAGCTGTAAAAAACAGCTTCATAACAATATGACACAAATCGAAACAAAATTACTATATTATCAATAAATAATACAAAACTTGTCATCCATGATAATATTAATTTTTAAAAAACTTAAATCATTACAAAATTAATAATGTTATTACTTTTTCTTACTACATGACATTCTATTGAAAATGTTTAAGATTTTGTAGTATCATAATACAGCAATCTCATATCTTGTGTGGTAATTCTCTATAGTAATACATGATGTAGATGATCTATTGTATTACTTTTAAGCTTGTTATCTTTTATTGTCAAATTCAAACTCTCTTAGAAAAGACTGTGCCTGGGCAAAAATCCCTCCAGATGGTGAAATGTCATACATACATGAATATATTATGTACTCACACATTCTCATACATTTCACTTTCATTTTTTACCATGAGGAAGGAGGGAGGGTTACACAGCACACAAACATCACTGAGGTTAAAGATTGCGTGTCTTGCAGGGTGTTACAACACTTCTGTAAGTGATCTAAACCCTATCCGTATGTCGTATTTTATCATCGGATCCATACAATGTGGGGAATTCTAAGCCACCACTTTCCAAAGAGGAAATTTACTCGTTAATCCGATCCGTACGCTTTGCATTGGAATCTGTCAAAATGATTTTTTTAGAAATTCTGAAAGTTCCAAAGAGATCTTCATACAAGAAGTATTATAAAATGTGAAGAATACAACCCCAGGGGTACATAATGACCCCAGGGCGTACGGATAGGGTTAAATCTTGAATGCTGGAGACATGAGGTAGGATGTAAGCATCCACTCCGTCTCTACTTCATCTATTGACTTCCCTTTGTTCTCTCCCCCTTAGAAGTACCCTCTTCAATGCTCAGAAACTCTTACTCTTGAAACTATGCATCTGTCACTTCTATTATTTTATGATTAAAGTTGAATTTAAAAATTATGCTGCATCTATTAGAGTGTGTTTGTGAGTGGATCTTTTACATGTTCTGTTGTTTGGTTGAGTAAAATGCAGTAACTATACTACATCTCTGCAATGCCTGCAAATGATCAAGACATCAGAACAAAAAAAGAGGCCACATTTGAGGGAGAGAGAGAGAGAGAGTGTGTGTGTGTGTGTGTGTGTGTGTGTGTGTGTGTGTGTGTGTGTGTGTG